CTCTGAATGCACTGAGTAGTTTTGCTCTCTTCCCCCACCTCCCTGCAAAGGTTATCAGTAGCAGTTCTCTGCTACTAGAACCGTATGTGCTTTTTCAGAGGAAGAAGAATTTAATTCTACGAAGTAGATAAAGTAATTCTTACAGAATTAAATAAAGCAAGCATCCTTGTACTTCAGCTCATTGATCCTTAGGTCTTCTGAAACTCGCATTTGAGTCTAAATTTTGAGAAACATGATGTAATCTTCGGCTTATCACAGGTTACAATTCCTTTCCTTAAATAACAAAAGACATCCTGTATTTCAATGACTCTTGCATTCGAATTTTGCAATTTTTCAGAACAAGAGAGTCAGCATAAACAAGGATGAACTCAAGTCAACTTCAAAAGCCATTGAAACTGTTCACAATCTGTGTTGCAATGAGAACAAAGGAGCATCAGAGTTGGTTGCAGAACTGAGCACTCTTTATCAGTGCATCAGGTGAGCAGAGAGACTGGTCCCAAGCTTCAGCTGTTGGAAGAAAAGTATTATTTAGGAGAGGCAGTACTGCTAAAGGGAAATGTCTTTGTGGGCTACTCTGTGAGAACATCCTCATTGTAGAATATGTGAAGATGTGGTCTGAAAGCAGCTTGCAAAATTGTACATCGGACTTTCTGGAATCTCTCTCATGAGGACATAGATTCTGGCTTTCACTGACAATTTGTCCTTCTTGTGTCACAGAATATGCTTTTCTCTGCCACTGGAAAAAGATGACAGATTGCTTTGTCTTCCTAATAAAGCTTTCCTAGCAATAGCTGTGTCCTTTCTTCTCGTCTTAAAAATATGAAATACAGACATTGAATAAATTGGAACAAACTTGGAGTGTACATGAATTTTGTTACATATTTTTTGCATTTTGTGCTGAGCAGGGAGTGTCTTTGTAGAAAGAATTTTCCTCTGGAATTTTTTTGTTTTTAATACCCTTGATGTGCTGCAGCTTTTCAAATTAAACTTTTTGAGCTTTATTAATTCTGCTGTAAGTTAAACTGAAACTAGCAACCATTAGAATATACTGAAATATTTTTTTTTTTTTAATTTACTGGGAGTTTTCTGTTTTGTTTTGGGGTTGTTTGGGTTCTTTGGGGGGGTGAGTTTGGGTTTTTTGGTTTGGTGGGTTTTGAGGTTTTGTGGGTTTTGGTGGTTTTTTTTTTTTTTTTGATGCTCCTGTGCTAAAGTGATCTCTTCTTCTGTAGGTTTCCAGTGGTGGCAATGGGTGTATTAAAGTGGGTGGATTGGACAGTGTCAGAACCACGATACTTCCAGCTGCAGACTGATCACACTCCGGTTCATCTGGCGTTACTGGATGAGGTAAGGGTGTATATAAAATCTGGCTGGAGGGTAAAAACAGTTCTGACGCTTGGAACCGGAAGTACATCCAGTTCACTGGATGCCTATCATTTGCAGTAAGTCAGTAAATATACAGAAATTAATCTGTTTCTATTCAGAGTTAATTATTTGGTTTTGTCATCTCAGCATTATTTACACTAGGAAAACTTAAGGCATCAAAGAAAGAAACAGTGGAATACTTCTCTAAAAGAATTTATATCTGGTACTGAACATCAATGTAAACTTGTCTAATAAAGCCTGGTGCATTGGGTTTTAAATTGAAGTTCTGAGGCTCTAACTTTCTTGTCTTGTTTGCAGATCAGTACATGCCATCAGCTGCTTCATCCCCAAGTTCTACAACTTCTTGTCAAGCTCTTCGAAACAGAACACTCGCAGCTTGATGTAATGGAGCAGGTGATTCTCAAAGGATTCAGTATTTGTGTTCCTTCATATTAATTAGCTTATTCAAGATAACAGCTTTTGCTGTCACAGGAGTTTTAAGAGTTTAATTTAGGAATATGGTCATGGTTAAAAAGTAACATAGCAGATATTGAATCAATAAGAATATGCAATAAAAATGGCATGCTTTCAAGAGGAAGTTCTAACCTGTTGGTTTCTTCTCCTCCCCCTCCACTCCCCCGACTCCTGCCGTCAGCTGGAATTGAAGAAGACTCTCTTGGATAGAATGGTGCACTTACTCAGTCGAGGATATGTCCTGCCTGTTGTCAGCTATATCCGCAAATGCCTGGAGAAGCTAGATACAGATATATCTCTCATCAGATATTTTGTTACAGAGGTCAGCAGCAAAAATTGTGTTTACTAACATATAGGAATGAATTTTTAAGATGAGTTGTATGTGTCCGTTTGGATATTAAATCAGCTTGCCTCGGATTCAAAAATATTAAGATACGAGATCAGATTTTGAGCAATGCATGTAATACCAGTATTCACTAGGATGTGACTTAGTCTTACTGACTCCTGACTTCTGAAAGTATTAAGGTACTGGGTAGAGTACCACAAGAATACATAATTAATTACTTGTATGGAGAACAAAAGGTGTTAAGTGCAGCTACTTGTATGCTTTCAAGACTAGTATTGTGAATTAAATATTGTTCCTGCTACCCTGCTAACTGGAAGAATAAACCATTTTTGTCTGCTGTTTCAGGTGCTGGATGTGATTGCTCCTCCATATACCTCAGACTTTGTACAGCTTTTTCTTCCAATCTTGGAGAATGAAAGTATTGCAGGTACTATTAAAACAGAAGGCGAACATGATCCTGTCACTGAGTTTATAGGTAAGTCACACTTATTCATTGCATACCTGCTTCTTTTTGTATTTGTTACAATTTGCAAATAACGTTTAGGAGGAAGATTTGCTAAAAATAGGAATGCCTGCGGGATATTTTCACAGATAACTTCCCTTTTAGGGGCCTGTGTTTAGCAATTTTCCTTTAATCAAGAATCTCTGGGTAGTAGTGAGGAACTTGGAGGCAAATACTGCTTTTTGAGAACAAGCACTGTAGTAAGGAAAGGATAGGAAGGGAAGTAGTCTGTCATAATACACTCCTATCCTAAAACAAAAACATCTGTCCAGACCCTAAAATCCTAATTATTTATGTAATGACAGACAAATCAGAGTAATGTACTGAACACTCTCTTTTTTTTTGTTTTTCTTTTAAGCTCATTGCAAATCTAACTTTATTATGATGAACTAAGCAATGGAAAATACCAAGAATGTGGAGCACATGATCACTACTTTGCCACTCTCCACCAGTAAGGTTCTATAACTGGGCAACACAGCAGCAAAAATAAACCCCCAAAAACCAAACCAACAAACCCAAAACAAGGAAGAAAGGGCTGAAGGGCATTTGATTGACTTGTGTGGTGACCTTGAGCTTCATATCAGAGGATTGTTAATGTACTTTGGAAAATGGAATAATACCGAAGGATTTTCTGTTGTTACACAAATCAGTATAAGTCTGAATATTCCGAAGGGGATAGCGGGAGAGAAACAGATTTATTTCAAAGAACGCTATTTTGGTTACTTGCAGAATTTGTCACTGATTCTTTGTGTAACATACAAAACTTGAAGAATGGGGAAGGTAGTTCCTACTAAAAACACTTCGCAGATAGTTCTCTGAAGACTAAATCTTGAATGATCTCGTTTTTGATGTTGCGAGCTGTAAAAAAGCAATTTGTGTGATTAGCTCTCTTGCTGCCGAGAAGCCATAATGCCTCTTTCTCACCTTTGCGTTATCAGAATTCTAAATATCCTACATATTTACTGCTATGAAAAAAAAAAAATTTTGTGTCACACAAGTGGAGTTGTAACAATCAAGGCTAGTTTTGTATTGACAGATGAATCCTACATGAGTGTGGTTTTTTTGAAATCTTTTTTTTTTTTGTTAAATAGATGCATCAAGTGTTACTGGTAAGTTTCATTACCATGTTAGAATTCTACTTTTGTCCAAAAATATGACTGTGTGTAGAAATTTCATTACTGCTTGTTGTGGCTTGGTTTTTATACTTACCTCTAGTCTGTCCTGGTTGATGCCAAACAGTGGGGGATACACCCAAGATTTATAATTTACCTTTAAATAAAGGTTCTTTTCTTTTCTAGAGATTGCTTTTAAAGCTTCATTAAGGTCACTCTTTTCTGTTCATTTGGCCGGATTTCTCTTTGTACAGGCAAATACTGTTTGTTTAAAAGGGAGGGGTATAGACAAGCCCACTGTGCTTTTCCAAGCACATCTGTTTTCTGAAGAACCTCCTTTCTAAAAGACGGTGACATTTTAAGTCCAACTGGCTGTAAATTTAAAAAGGAAATCACTTTATTTTTCTTTGTTGTCAGTGATTCATGAATGGGAACTCTAAACTACTGTGATAATTCTTGAGACAGCAGCCAATTGCATAGATTCTTAACTCCTAAAAAGGAGTGCATTTTCCCTTCCAGAGGAACCTCAGCCAGTCCCTCACCTACATCCTCTCTACAGTGACTGAGCTTACCATAGTAACACTTACAGTGCTCTAATCAACTTAAAGCACAGCCTGAAAAGGGCAAAACTTGCTTCTGCAGAAGCTGTTCTGAACTTCTTTGCCTATCTTTGAATAGAAGATGTACTATCATTCCATGAGACCTACTTTTCATAGTATTTTAAGTAGAATTAGCATACAAGTTTGGCTTTTTGTAGCCCCTGACTTCCTTTCTTTGTTAACTGGAATTAACTACAGAAACAATTCCCCCTATAGAGCTTTATTTTAGGATGTAGCCCTGTATCATCTTTTAGTGATAATCAAGAGGGGTTTGTTCCTGTGTCTGTTGCAAATTTGCCAGCTGTTCAAAAAGTATACTTTTGCTTTCCTCTGTGTTCAAGCTTTTGATCGCTTCCTCTAAACACTTGAGTTCCCCTGTACTTACCCAAGTAGCTGACTTTTAACTAGTTAAAACTTCCACAATGCTGTGATCAGTACTGTTATGCTACCGTGTTCATATCTCAATGGAACTTAAGTTACAGCAGATACTGCAGCTTGGCAGAATTAATCCTTACTGGCACTAGTCTGTCACATGAGACTGCTTGTTAGGTGCGACAATAGAAGATGACTGGAAACAAGTATTAATGAGCATACAGTCATGTTAGAGAAAAACATCCATTTATTAAATGCAATTAACAATGCCAGTTAGTAGCAATTGATATGGTACCAATTTGCCACTTAGTAACTGGCTCAGTTTTGAGGAAGAGAATTTGCTACCTTTCTTCAAATTAGTGAAGCGTTCTGGCTTGTAGCAATTTATGCTTTGCCCCTTTAGGGGAAAAATGGCACAGCCAATCACTTAAAGCAAGGAATGTGAGCAAAGACAAGACTAATTAACTAAGAAGTGTTTAGACTTTGTCTTTTGATCAAAGTAATTCCCATTGTATCATTTTGGTTGGATAAAAGCAACTGCATTATATGAGACTTCCAACAATGCTGTTTCACCGGGAGGCCAAGGAAACAACAGGGGACTTAGTTTTTTTAATATATCATGTCCAGACTTAGCTGTGTTCTTTCATCTGCATTATTGTGAGATATTATTTGCTCAATACTGTCAGAGAATTTAATATAAGCTCTAGACCCAAATATTGAGTATACTTTTTCCTTCCCAGTATGTCTACATAATTTATATTTAAAAAATATACAGATTTACATACACAGTTTCTGTGACTAAGTCAATATGATTTCAATATTGTGCATCAAGGCAGACAACTTTTTAATGGGTTAAATTACTTTTTTTTTTAAGCTGTAAAGTTATCTAAAGGCAGTTCTGTGTTTATTTTACTTTGAAGACATTGTGTGTTGCTATCTGGGCTAATTTTGCAGAACTGCCTGATGGTGTTGAACTGTGAAAGAGTTTTAGACCACTATTCTTTAAACAGAAAAAGGTTGTTCTGGGAAGCTTCCAAACAAAGTAGTTCCTAAACAGAAAGATGTCCAATATAGAATCAAGGAAGTACAGCATCTCCATATGCACAGTCCTCTTCAATAGCAAGATTGTACTCTGCTCCTCTTCCACCTTTATATGCACTTGTCACAATTCTCAGCCACCCTTTTTCACCCTGTAAAGAATTAATTTGCATTGTGAATTAGAAAACGTAACTACGGAAAACGTATGCTATTGAGTCTGTTCTGTCTTCCAAATATGAATGATTTATAAGCAAATCTAGGAATTCACTCAAGATGAAGTGTAACACTGGGTTCAGAGGGCAACCTTGTTTAAAGGAGCAATCTGCTTTGGTGAATTGACATCCCCCTCATCTATTCCCAGATATGTGACTTGATTTTTGCCTATGACTAACAGTAATTCACAGTTGCCCATAGCAGGAGCTGCATGTCCATGGAAGGGTAGCATTTGGGATTGAGTTGACATTACTCAAGTAACTTTGGCTGAGTATCCTTGTCTTCAGATTAGTTAGGTTTCATTTTCTTAATTGCTACTCTAGTTCAAAGGAAGTTTCACTTCTTCTATCCACAGGCTAGCCATGCAGCTTCCTGTTTGCAAGTGAAAAACCCCACCTTTCCTCTAAAGTCATTCTGCAAACGTGTTTGTTCCTGTGTTTCCTTACCCAGGGTTCACCCCATGAGTTACGAACAATCCAGTATTCTGTTCCATTTTCTACACCCCAGCCAGCCACAGATACGATGTGATTCACCGTAGGCAAGGGGTTGTACTCTGTATAAAGTCCTCCAGTGTAAGCATCCAACTTTTCGGTAGCCATTATGCCACAGCTGTAATAAAGCAGAGAAAGCATTTTGATACAAGGGGATCAGGGCAGGGGCCTGGCTAAAAAACAACTGGTTTTCTTGCATTTTGACTTCAGAGCTCAATTTATCTACAAACAACCTAAAGTCTGCGTATTAGTGCAGAGCTGCTAACATATGCTAGAGTGGAGAAGTACACTTCAGTCACTGGAATGAGGTTCAAGTATTTCAATCCCAATACTACTAGTAAATAAATATTTTCTTTTTTACCATTCAAGACTTTTTTTTTTTACCTAATTGGTCCATTAGTATAGATTTCCGCCATCATTTTTTCTCTTCCACTGACAGACCCATAGTCAGCAACTTTCCAGAGAGTGTAGTTCTTTATCACGTGGCATTCTCCAAAAGTGACGCAAGTTCCACACTGGTTAAACTTCTTACACTCTACAAAACACAGGTGAGATTATCACTGCAAGAGAACGCTTTTCTTCAAGTGAATTAATGATACCACACTAAGCTTTTTTTCCTTTTAACTTATTTGAGGCAGATATTAATAACTTAATTACTAATACATACGCTCTCTGGTGAACTAAATTCCTTTCTGGAAACCGCATTTAAAGTCTCTACAATCACTAGTTACTATTCTTTACTTCATAGGCATAAGTGCTTTGAGGAAGTGTTTCGGATGTGCTTCTCTATAGATACAGAAACTATTCCAGTCATACATGACCGGACAAAGGTTACATTTCTCCTCTGTTTAGCTTGAGGTGACACTTGTAAATATTTCAGTACATTAGAGATTGTGTATCACAGACTTAAGAGATTAAGTTTAAACAATTTAGCTGTGCAAACTTGTCTGGGTATGATTTAATGCTATGCTGTCTGGCTAGAGTAAGAAGACACACAGGCCTGTAAAGAAAACCTGTTCTGTCAGTCAAACAGCAGGTACTACACTGAACCTGAACAGCAGGAACCAGTACACTGAAACCCCAAAAAACTATCTTTTTTTTTATGTTAAGATCTGCTAAACCTGGGATGAAGCCTTACAGCAAAGGAAATAGGCATCGTACTTTGATCCTTAGCTTGGTAGTTGTTGCAGGTCTCATCTGGAATGCCATGGTCATGGGCATACATCCAAACACCTGAGTGGTCGCCACCTTCACAGGATCCTGCGTTAGCACAATCTATCACGTTCTGAACGGAGAGGTAGGCAGAAGGCCATGCACCTTTTCTCTTTATGTTGATTCGATCTGTAAGGATGAGAAATTGGTTTTCGTTAGTGGAATACGTGGGTGGTTACGCATTGCAACTGGCGTTAAAACTGTCTCTCCTTCATTGAATCTGTAACTGTCTGCAGGCAACAGTACTTGTGGTTGGAAAAGCCTCTACTGTCGACAGTGAGGCACACAGCCTGTCGGTTTGAGTTAGGTCATGCTGAGTTATTATTGTGGGTTTCCATTAGAAGTCTTTTCCATTAAAAACTCAGCAAACACACGCAGATGAGTAGGATCTGTTTAAAGCCTTGAAGTGCCCTAGACCTTTTTGAATTCAAGTCACAGCTTCTGAAAACTTCTAGATCCATTTCCTGGCTTTGACAGCAAAAATACACATCATAAAACCAGCTCTCACTAGCCTTTTTTACAGGAGTAAAGATTTACGCATAAATCCATGCAAAGTCGTAAGCCCATGCAGCCCAGGTCTCTGGCTCTGACAGACCGTCGTCACAAAGCAAGGAAAAGCTTTCGGAAACATATCCTCACTGTTATGTCAACATCTCACTGTTATCCTGCCATCTCAGACAGGCATTGCCACCCTGCTGCCCTATTTTGTCAGAAACGACTAGCTTACTTGGCAAAAAAGCTTCCCAGTAAGTATTTATAAGCTGCTTCTCACAGTGCATTAACGGTCTTAACTGATGCCACTGTAGCACTTTTAATCCTATTAGTACTAAAAACATTCAGCTATACGTGACAGAACTGGGAGGCGTTATCCCAGCCTAGTCTTCCAGCAACAGGAGAAGGAATGAATGCTTTAACTATTCACAGCAGTTAAGAAAAAATATCCTGATTTTTAAAGTGAACCTTTTATACTTATAAAGATACATATAAGTATACCTACATACACAATAAATTTTAACTGACGTTATATAATTAAGAAGTTGCTATATTTTATCTGTCCTAGTGCTTCACTACATCATGGCGGGTTTCTTATATGTCTATTCTTGTACTGCTTAAGACCAGATGCTTTGTGATTCCTGCCATCTGCTCACACCTGTGTTGTCTTCCCATTTCTGCACAATTTCTTCTACTTCTCTTTCACAGCCAGTCCTCTTGCAGCCTCCCTGTGCAAACAGTACTTCTGCAGCATGTTACTGTTGCATGCGAGTCATCATGTATTCTCTCTAGGGAAAATATTTCTCCAGCTGAAGCAACCCCCTACTTCCCTTTTCCCAAGAAAAAGTCTGATGGAAAGATATCTGCTGAAACTAGATTTGTCTGTATGCTGTGGTAGGCAGTTCCTTTGAATGACAAGGCTCTTGAAGCTAATACCCTGCGGGCCCTTCCCACGAGAGGCAGCCTGTTTCAGTTCCTCATACCTAGGCATCACCGGAGCAACCACGCGCTGCTGTAGCGCGGCAGGCTGAAGTACCAAAAAAGGGGAGGGGAGACGATAACTGCTTTTGCATCTGCTGCTACCGTCACCACGCCTCCAAGAGGGGCAGAAACCCCAGTTCTTGCTCCAGGCCCTAAATAGCAGTGCGGCAGGAGCTATGGATGTATTTCTTCTGCAAACAGCTTTTTAGCCCTCGCACAATTTTGAGAGGGTGGGGACAGCCTCGCTCTGATTGCTCTCCCTCTTGAAACCAAGCCTCCTTGCCTTCAGCTGCCACCTTGGGAATTCCCACTCTTCCTGGTATATTCCCAGGCGGCTCAGCCTTGGTTTTTGCTGCACTACTCACTGCAGCAATTTGGCACCTCTTCTTTATACGAGCTGTTTTGTAAGCTGAAGATAAACGTCCTTTGCTTAACCAAAAACTGTAAATCACTGGGGGCGAGAGCTGGGCGGGTGAGGGGGCGGCGCTCAGCCCTGAGCCCGGCGTACCTGCCAAAGCGCTGGTGCTGCCGTGGGCCCAGCAGGACCCGCAGTACTGGGGGATGTGCTGGTTCCGAGTGGCGCTGGCGTAATTGACGCCGTTCACGTTCCTCCAGTCCCAGCTGGCGGGGAGCGCAGAGACGTCCAGGTACTCGTGCGGGCGGGGGTAGGTCCTGCGTGGGGGCAGAAAGAAGAACTAGCTCCCTTGCTGCCCGCGACTGTATTTTCAGGCAAATGAGGGGATTTTTTAAACAAAAAAACACAACAGCTTTCACGGAGTTTCGTAACGGGGCTGCCAGTGTCC